TCTACTCTTGGTTTCCACGCCTACAACCTTCCTAAATATCTTGTACCTGCTTTAAGCTCACTAACTAAGAACGAATTTACTGTTAAAGATTCGTTTTCCTTTGCTCAAGAGATATCAAAATTTCCTAATGCAGACTAATTCGTTATGGCCAGCTTTGATATTCAGTCCTTATTCACTAACATCCCACTTGATGAAACATTAAAAATAATTAGTAAACAGTTATTCCCTGCCAAAAATGCTCTGCACTCTAACTTTATCCAACAAAAATTCGGACAGCTTCTTAAATTGCCCCTCAAGGACAATCACTTCGTTTTTAATGGTCATCTTTATGACCAGATCGACGGAGTGGCGATGGGATCACTTCTAGGTCCGACCCTTGCAAATATTTTTCTATGTCATTACAAACGTCAGTGGCTGGATAATTGCCCCCTTTATAACAAACCAGTATTATATAGAAGGTACGTTGATGACACTTTTCTACTCTTTCGCAACACTGATCACGCCAAGAAGTTTTTAGAACACCTAAACTCACAACATTCATGTATAAACTTTACATGTAAGATGGAAGAAAACAATAACTTAGCTTTTTTAGACGTTCAGATATACAAAATAAACAATCTCTTTGCCACATCTATTTACTGTAAGAAAATATTTACTGGATTATACACTCGTTTTGACAGTTTCATACCAGACTCCTTCAAACATAACCTTGTTCTAAATCTTCTAAACAGAGCCTATTATATCTGTTCTGACTACTTCTGTCTTCACTCAGAAATTTCAAAACTTCATAACATATTACAAAGTAATGGTTATCCCCTTAATTTCTTACACTCTATTACACGAAAAATTTTATCAAATAAAATAAAACCTACCAAAAAATCACACACTGTCTTAAAATGTCCACTAGTTCTTATCATTCCTTTCATTGGCAAACAAAGTTTTAAAGTCAAATATCAGATTCAAAAAATAATCAAACATATTACCCACAAATTAAGCTACGTTTAGCATTTACGTCAATATTTAGAATTAAAAATATGTTTAAAACCAAAGACACTGTACCCATTCTTATGCGCTCGTGGGTTGTATATAAATACACTTGTGGTAACTGTAAAGCTACCGATATTGGTAAAAGTACACGTCACCTACAAATACGTGCACACGAGCACTTCAGCAAGAAGCGGATGTAATCTAAGTAATACACCTGAGTCTTGTATCCGGTTGTACAGTGAGAATAACAAACGCCCCATACTTCTAGAAAACTTTAAATTTCTCGACCCCAGAACCACAGATTACGAACTCTTTATTAAAGAAAGCCTCTCCACTTTCAGTGATCACCCGACACTAAATAATAACATCAACTCCTCCCTGTTGTCATTAATGTAATAAATTCTGGATTCTCAGTGTTTTTATTTGATATTTATTATTATTTAAAGATACAGTGTTTATACTTCTCTTTTAAACCATTCTCTATAATAGTTTCTCTTAACAATGTTATTTATTAAACAAGTGTATGCCGCACGTTTTATCGTACATTTTATTATATTGTTACCGTTTAAATCTGTTCTTTCTAAACTTCCGATTGAATACGAAAACTCGCTCAATGCTAATGTTGTTTTTTGTAGTTCGGATATTATGAACTAACTTTTTTTTTTTAGAAATATTAACGCTGATGAAGGAATTTAAGGAAATTCCGAAACTTCCGTATTAAAGATGTTTTTTGGTATTACCGTATTTTTAAAATTTATTATAGCCTATAATATATATCTATATATTGATATAAATGTAGGTATGCTATTATAATTATCTTGTTTTATTTTCGAGAAAATATGTATTTTTAATAGGCACGTAAAACACAATTGATAAGCTAAAACTGTAAAGGCGTTTCATATAGTTTTACAAAATCCACTGACGTTGCTAATCTCTCCGTCAACGGATAGATGGAGACAGCTCAAAGAATGAGAAGAAAGAAACAAGCTAAAAAAGTTACAAGTTTTTCACACACACTAAAGAGTAACAAGATATAAAATGTTCCGACTTCAATTCTATGAAACAATTACTCTCTTTAGTGAATTGTCGCCTTTTTAAAAGTTAGATGCACATGGCTGATATCAGTGAAGTTTTGGTTTTAAAGAACAACAACATTTAATTTATTGTGCTAATTTTATTTGTTCAGTGATGTAGAGCTTATTTAACTTGTATGTGACCGTTGAATAGAAAACGGTGTATAGGCACAGTCATTTTGTATTTTCTTCCGGTCAAGTAAATAAACACATGAAAACAAAAATTTAAACAACAAAACGATATTGCATACATATATATACACATATATTTGATGAACTGGATTGAAAAAATGTACATTCAGAACATTATTCATCAAATTCCAAAATCTGAACTTTCACAGCATATCTTAAATTCACAACTTTTATATCTACAGAATATCTCTTATTCGTAAGTCTTAACATCTAGATCATTAATATTCACAGGGAAAAATCACGTGTATCATATCAACATTTGTAAAGTTCGAATAAATAAAGACAACCACACATAGGATTGATAACTGGCGAACGTAAATTTCTGGAAGCTGTAATGTCGCTACAAAAATACGTTTAGGCTTCGAAACTCCTGTTCACGCTCTTAATTTTGTCATTAACAGGAAATAAAGGCAGATTACATCTGATATTCACGTGAAAAAGGTCAACCTAGTTACTCGGTAGGCAAAGCTTTCATCTTCTGTAATGTCTTGTATACGTATAAGTTTTAAAAATCGCTACATTATTATTATTATTTTCAATATTAGGTGTTTTCTTTTTGTTGGTTTCCATTGCAATTTGTGAAACCCAATAGCCTAACTTATGCTGCTCAGACTTGCCCATTCTATGAGAAAAAACACCCTTTCTTATCCTAGCAACACAATGCAGCAGGTAACAAGCCTACACGGAATCGAATTTTGGGAATCCAAAGTGGGCACCCACTGTTCAATTGCCTCTTCAAAGAGAATAACGTTCTCATATTTAAAGATACAAAAATATTGAACCTATTAGAGTTGCTGTGTTTCATAAGAAGTATTTTCTTTCTTCCAATGCCCACAGTGGCACAGCAGTATTTCTGCGGACTTACAACGCTAGAAACCGGTTTTCGATACCCGTGGTGGGTAGAGCACAGATAGCCCATTGTGTAGCTTTGTGCTTAACTTTAAACAAACAAATAAACTTTCTTTCAAACAGCCTGAAAAAATTTCTGGGGAAAACTCATTCCGTTACCTCTCGCCTACAACAGGAAGCTTTAATATCTGTACGAAAAGAAAAAACAATGAAAGTGTTCTAGCTGTAAACTTACATCAGCACTTACTTTCTAGCTTAAAGTTGGTAGTAAAGAACGTAATGCATGAAGAGTTACGGAGTCTTGCTAAAAATTATGTACTTCGGTATAACTGCAAAATCTTTATTTGATGATATATGGTAATACGTTTTGTAAATGTTTCAAGTATCCTGATCTTTGATAAACTAACACGAAATTTAACTTTATATAGACTAAGTCCAGTATTGACTGGTAACAGTACGCTTTTTTCAGCACAAAAAGATAAAATATCAAGTTCTTAAGCTTAGCAGTATAATAGGAGTATCCGATAAAGATCATGGTAAACCTTTTCTGACTGCAAAAATTAAAGCTCAATCTAATCTATGAGAGCATATGACGATGATCAAACGAAAGCTATTTCTTGAGTAACCCGTTAGAACATATGACGATGATCAACCTGAAGTTATTTCTAATTAATTTCTGAGAGCATATAATGATTATTAAATTGAAGTTATTTTTCATTTACCATCTGAGAGCGTATGATGAGAATCAAGTTATTTTTTACGTAACACGTGAGAACGTATGACGATGATCGAGCTGAAGATCATTCCCTATGCCCACTCCTTCTTTACTATTATATTCAATATAAGGATTATTTTCTCTGTGATTTTATCATTCCCTATGCCCACTCCTTCTTTACTATTATATTCAATATAAGGATTATTTTCTCTGTGATTTTATCATTCCCTATGCCCACTCCTTCTTTACTATTATATTCAATATAAGGATTATTTTCTCTGTGATTTTTCTGAACTAGCAGTTTAAAAACAAAATTAGCTTCAGTTTGATCATCATCACGTGCTCTCACGTTTGATCATTGTCATATGCTTTTAGAAATTAATCAGAAATAGAAAAATCACAGAGAAAATAATCCTTATATTGAATATAATAGTAAAGAAGGAGTGGGCATAGGGAATGATAAAATATTTCAACTTTGGGCAAAGTCACTGTTTCTATGCTATGGGTGCTTTCCCACAATCACATTGCTACTATAACATGCTTTCGGTATTAGATGTTTCATTCATCTCAGTAGTGTTAGATAAATGTTTTTGTGTTATACAAATATTTTCCTTTATGATCAACATTAAAGAAAGAAAGAACCGAAATCTCATTTTTTATATAATATTTAAATATTTTTTAACACTTAGAATTTGGAATTCAGGAAATAATAAACTGAATTCGAAGACATTTTTCTTGTATGCCAGAAGTATCCCCCACCAAATTTATGATGCAATCGTTGCAGTATAAAAAGACATGAACTTACATAAACGTTTTGTTTAAATTCGACTTCATGAATATTAGTTACTACTCTTGCTTGGAATATCATCTGTTCATCAATAGAGTCCAAAAATTTCTTACTTTTGATTTTTTTAATAGTTGGAAACTTTAAACGTAATTTCAAGTCAGATATTATTCCTTAATATAGAAGTGATAAAACATGAAATATAAATACACGTCATTTAAGAGAACTTTTTAATGAGTTTTTTTCCCGTCTTTTCTGGAGTCACGAAACGAACTGATATTAAAATTCTTTATAGTTAGATATACTAAGAAACTTGATTTGTTTAGGTGAGATCAGTCAAAAAGTAGTTGAAAGACTGTGAATATAGAGGTATTTTTTTTGTGTTGTTTTTATAGGTTCGGCAAAGCACTTAAGGTAAAAGTCCTTTACTTTCAGTATTTACTGGTGTTTTTGAACTGGCGGTTTGAAGGAGACTGGGCCTTAAATATGGATGAAACTTCAACCCAGGGTATAAGGTAGATAGATGAAACTGAGAACTATACATATGATTAGGAGAGAATGAAGCATTTCTATCAGTTGCGCTGGATATAGTGGACAAGGTCGATGGAACGGGCCTGGACGAGGAACATTCAAGTGCTGAAGGCAGTGGCATGTGTCCATAGGTCCCCTCGTTGGATCCAGCAGCTCCAGTTATTATGTTTGGAGCTGAGACCATGGGAAAAATTGTTCTTGGGAGACCCAAGTAAAATCCAGAAAATTGATTAATCTGTTGCTGTTGGGCAGTCATTATGGAACTAAGATCCGTCATGCTTAGAGGGATTCCTGGCACTTTCCAGGGATTTCCTGCTTGGCTGGTCATGAAAAGCAGCTCTGTAGGTGGAGGTATTCTTCCTAATGTAAAACAAATGAAATATTTATTAAGATAATTAATACTTTACGTAAAATAAAAAGTAATTAGATACAAGTTAAATTTAAATGCTTTGTATTTTATCTCAATAAAAGGTGATCAGAATTTTCTTAAATATCAGGTTTTTTTAGAAATAAAAACTCCATCACGACATTGAAACATTCTCTACAAAAATGCTTTTTTCCATTCTAATGTGTATTAAAATAGAATAAAACTTTCTCATGCTAACTATTACAAGTAATAGGATCAATAATATAAAAGGGAAAATATAAAATGTTAATGCCAATAAAAATATCAGTACAATAGACTTGAACTGGTGAAACCTGTAACCAGTTTATACTTTGATAGCGTACGTTTTTTTCCTGATGTTCTTGTTCTTCTGCAACGTTTCCTGTAAGATAGTAATTTTCTCTTTAAAATATCTCACACAACTTTTGTTTGACGCCGACTTGTTCAAAATTGCTTCTTTTTTTTTTTTCAAATCTCTTTCTGATGAAGTTTCCATAATGTTGCTTATAATTATTTTATATATTTTAATATATTAAAAGTTGTCAATGCAAACAAATGATCTCATTATCTCAATAATATGTAAAATTAGCTTAAAATAATGATTTATGGAACAAACTACTGTAAATAGTAAATCTGTTTCATAAATAAATATATAAATAACATATTAAAGATATCTCTTGAATGAATCAGGTGAAGTCTTAATGCCTGTTTTCTGTGTTCAAAATGAATTATCAGTCCTTTCTAGGGTTAAAGATTTTGAAACAACAATCTTTTGACTTTATGCATTTTCACTTCCTCTATAACACCCATCAGACTCAACAAACTTTTAGTTTAGGACTTAAGAAACAAAGTGGACCTTTATTGAAGAGCTCAAAACATCACATGTTCTCTTGTTTTATAGTACTCAACAGATATGTTTTCTTCCTTTATAGTACTCAGCATATCATATGTTTTCTTGCTTTATAGTCCTCAACAGATATGTTATCTTGTTTAATAGTGCTCAACCGATATATTATCCTGTTTTATAGTACTCAACAGATCATATGTTCTCTTGCTTTATGGTACTCAACAGATTATATGTTCTCTTGCTTTATAGAACTCAACAGATTATATGTTCTTTTGTTTTATAGAGCTCAACAGATTATATGTTCTCTTGCTTTATGGTACTCAACAGATTATATGTTCTTTTGCTTCATAGAACTCAACAGATTATATGTTATTTTGCTTCATATAACTCAACAGATCATATGTTCTCTTGCTTTATAGTACTCAACAGATTATATGTTCTTTTGTTTTATAGTATTCAACAGATTATATGTTCTCTTGCTTTATAGAACTCAACAGATTATATGTTATTTTGCTTTATAGAACTCAACAGATTATATGTTATTTTGCTTTATAGAACTCAACAGATCATGTGTTCTCTTGCTTTATAGTACTCAACAGATTATATGTTCTTTTGTTTTATAGTACTCAACAGTTCAAGTGCTCTTTGTGTACAGTAGTAAATTCAACAGACCATATAAACTTTTGCTTGTGGCACTCAACAAATCAAATCATATTTGGGTACTTATCACACCAATTACTCTTGTTTTTCTGTGTATTATCTAACAGACCATGTGGGTTTTTGCTTGCGTTACTTAATACGAAATAAAAATACACTTTGTAGTTTATTATGCAATCTACTACAGTAAAATAAAATAATTTAATATTAAATGAACAAAATTTCCACCTTTCAGAATGCCCGAGTTTAAAGCGATTAACTTTCATATACGAAAGTTCAATACCACATGTTACAAGAACAATAACCTTATATAGTTCATTTTCATGGATTGTTTTAATATAAAATCAATAAAGGTTATGCAGTCACGTCACCAAAGTAAACACGGCAACAATTTGCAGCCATTTTGGACGCAAACATTATTCGTGTAAACATGGCCTCCGCTACACAGTCACCTAGTTTTCCGTTCATTTTTCACGAACTTACTAGCAAATTAGACAATATATGCAAGTCATGATATGAATAAAAGTGCAGAAAAGTCGGACTTGACACGACAGATCCTTATTCCATCCCGTCAGTAATGACAATCGCGCTAGATGCCAGTAAATTAGTCGACATTGCAAACGGAGGACCCGAGTTAGGCCAACAAACCAACATAAAAGTCCCACAGGTTGAGAATAAAAATATCGTAAATTATTTAGTCCTGACAACATCTTTTTACACCGGAAAGCCGTTCAAGGCCTATAAAAGCCTTGATGCTTACAAATATTTTGTGGCCGGCTGGGTGCACGTGGTCAGACTGTGGAAAGTGTACAAGACGTACAACTACATATCTTACTCGAGGGTAAGTCGAAGTTGTTTTTAGTGACTAGGCTTATTGTTTATGTTTTATCAGTAGTAAATTTACAACCTAAATATACTACATCGTACTGTATTGCATTTTAAGTCCTCCTGTCTTGTAAGACCACTTTCTTTAGTACACATTAGCACATATTTTACACAAATAAGCACTGAATTTTAAGACCATCTGTCTTGACAAGCCATATTTATAATAAAACCTTATTATGGCCCACTGGGCCCTTCCACCTAGCACTGCTTGTATGGACCTGTATCATAGTATTTAGAATAAGGGAAGCACCAAATATTTACAAGCTATAGATTTTATCAAGATCTGTGCAATATAATTGTGACAAGATACATTGTATATACAAGCAGTACTAACCAGATATAAAATGGCAACTGAATAGTTTATGGTACGAAGATGGTTTCCAAGCCTTGTCAATGTTGTTCGGGTCTGCACGTTTTACTGCCGCAATCCATTTAACTCTACATACTGGATCTTTTAAAAACCTATAAAACGATAACTCCGGAATCTTTGTCTGGTTGTTTGTAAGCTAAATACCACACAGCTGACTGTCATTTCAAATACTTCATCCCAAATTCCAATACCAGCAACTGCATTGTGATTACTAGATTGTCTCTTTGCTACGTCCAAAATGGCGGTGTTTGCTTTTCGGCTTGCCGGTAATATATGCATGACGTCACACGCATAGGTTCTATATTCAGTTGTGTATTTATACTATTTCTTTATCGAAGGTCGTTCCAAAACAGTTAGGTATTTACAAGCGTATGCTTTCTGTCGTATATCTTTAAGAGGTTATGTAGAAAGTATATTTCATGACAACACTTGACTTCGTACTTTTGTGGTCAAATATGTCTCCAAATAGGCGATTTATCCACATTCTGGAATCCGTTCATATGTTGCATAACACATTAATTACTATAATGGCGATGAGAGATGACATATGCAAAGAATGACATAAATCTTATATGTGTACATATATAAATCAAGTTGTAGAAAAAAGTATGTATTATGTACAACTATTATATATAATCTTTTCACAAACCATACTTCATCGATCTGCGTCAAAGAGTCTGTATTTAAAGGCAGATAGGAAGAGGTCAAAAATATTGGTTTTTGATATATAATCAAAAGCATAGATATGAAACACTCAGCTAAACATAGAACGAAATAAAAAACTACGCTTATCCTTTTTTTTACATCTCCAGAAAAACTTGGTATAACTTGATATAACTGTGTATTTATATATGTTTTAAGAAGGAAATTTATCTTATTGTTTGTTTGTTTGTTTTTTAAGTATGCACAAAGCTACACAAGAGCTATCTGTGCTCTGCCCACCACGGGTATCGAAACCCGGTTTCTAGCGTTGTAAGTCCGCAGACA